CCTCCTGTATCCATTGGCCGCCTGTATCCAACGTTCGCCCCACGTGGGGCCAATATAAAGTCCCCTTGCCCCACCGAATCTGCTTGGAGATTAAGAAAACGCGCCTTTCAATGCAAGATGAGCCAAAAGTTGGTGCCACTGAACCCTAAACTGCAACAACATCAATTCCAACGTAGGGATTTTGTATTCGAATTTTCGAAAGGGGCACACGCGGTTAGGGCGAAACGCATTCGAATCGTTTTATGGAAGCCAGGGAAGCATTCGATAACGGGTTCCGGACCCGGCCGTACCGTAAAGTGCGGCCCGGTCCGGAACCCGTTATCAAACGTTATCGTGGCCCGGGTATGATACAAATACTGTTACTATGAACCTGGTTACCAGACCTATTTTAGCTCCCGAGTCTTTAAAAGACTTTTAAAAGACTTGGGAGTTAAAGTGAGTTTGGTACTAGTAACCAGGGTTTGTTACTGTACCATGACTAACAAAAATTACATAGCTGTTGGTTTTGAAGATATGGAAAGACAATGAGGTCTACATCACAGTAATAATCTTTCCTCTATATTATTATGCATGTATCAAGTAGTATCTTGATATTACCATTGTAAAACGACTTCAAATGTATCTTTGTAGACCTGTAGCCAAGGGAACTTAATTATAGAAAGTTTAAAACCGTGCCATCTTGTCGGTACCTCAGTGTCTTGAGCTGACCCCTCTTGCTCTCCATCTTTGATGAAGTATGATTGCAATGGTCATTGTTATCTTATCTCACCATAACAGTTATCACAACAGAGAAGACCAACATTTTACTGCGGTACCTGCACCAACAGTGGGATAGAAAAGTAAGTGGAGCATTTGTAACATCGTCAATTCCAGTGTTCAATTTTTTTAAAAGCAGCACACTTGGCATGCATTCAAATTATTCTATGGCACACTAAGTACTTGGAAGCCTGTGTGATAACCAAATAGAACGCTGTGTGATAAACAATTAGAACCCCATGTGATAACCAATTATAACCATGTAATAACCAGTTATAAAACTCTGTGTGATTATCAATTAGAACCATGTTGATAACCAACCCCATGTGATACTGATAACCCATTATAACCCCATGTGATAACCAATTATAACCCTGTGTGATAACCAATTATAACAGTGTGGTAAGCAATTATAACCCAGTGTAATAACCAATTATAACAGTGTGATAACCAATCATAATCATCCAGTGTGATAACCAATTATAACAGTGTGATAACCAATCATAATCCAGTGTGATAACCAATTTTACCCCATGTGATAACCAATTATAACCCAGTGTGATAACCAATTATAATTTAGTGTGATAACCAATTATAATCCAGTGTGATAACCAATTATAACCTCATGTGATAACCAATTATACCCCAGTGTGATAACCAATTATAACCCCCTGTAATAACCAATTCCTGTGTGATAATCATTTATAACCCCATGTGATAACCAATTATAACCCAGTGTGATAACCAATTATAACCCCCTGTAATAACCAATTCCTGTGTGATAATCATTTATAACCCCATGTGATAACCAATCATAACCCAGTGTGATGGACCAATGGCACATTTCTTCCTTCTTGCAGAATGCCCACAAAAAGAGGGACA